GACCTCAACACAAACATGAGAAGACGATTAGAGTCTCCGAATAGCGCGATCGAAGCTGCACTCGAGGTTTGGACAGAGTGAATGCTAGGTACCTCAACAGTAGACAGCTTAGACGCTTCATTGGCGAACAGCAATAGAAGAAATATTCGCAAGCTGAATCAGGTCGCTCTAGAAGCCAGGAAAGCCCCGTCTCCGTGGGCGGCAGGCTTGAATCTCTCTTATGGAATCTGATGCATCCTCGCTGCCGTGGATTAATTCCAAAAAGTTTATCTGGCATAACTGGCCGTATGGTGTTTTTAATTTCTTCACAGTGAGAACGGAGATGGCCATAGTCAACGAGATTCTTCGGTTATTACGCGTGGCAGCAAGGTTATTTTCAGCAGACCGCTCCAATCATGCAATTCGATCGTTTCGCTCGTTCCAACGAAATTCGCCGATTGGAATCTCAAAGCCGCATAGAGCGAACACACGGTCATTTTCGGCGCAAACGCTAGTCACTTTTTAGCTAACATGCGATCGTATCTAACTCTGAGGTTGCCTTGAAGATGATTTGTATCTGTGGACATTAGTCCTTAAAGGTCAAATCGGTATATTGCCCGATACATTCCTTCGAGCAGATGTCATTACTGATTTACTGCAAGGGAATTTTCTACCTTCGCAAGATCCGAGTGAAAAAACTTCTTATTTACAAGAGTAAGCAAAACTTACAGAACTTAGGAGCAAATGGTAAGTAGAAAAACAACAAGAAAATGTTCTCTGGATTAGTGCCAAATGGTCAATTCGTAGCTGGACATAGTGCACGTCTACCAGCTTTTTGGGCAGGAATTAGTAGGATCTTCGGGGACAAATAACTAGCTGACTAACCTATTGATAGACTACAAATATGTCTATCGATATTATGATGGGTGCGTTGCAGTACTCCTCCTGAGATCAGGTCACCTCAAAAAAGCACATCTCTGATTTGCTCGTAATAAGCTTAGGACCAAGCCTAAGCCTAACCGTAGGCTTTAACACAAGCCAGTGCACAATCATAAGCCTAAGCCTGAGCTCAGCCTAAGCCTAGCCTTAGGCTTCAATCACTGCGCAGCTCTCGTGAAGAAGAACTGAACGTTTCCTAAGATTCATTTCCACTTCGTAAGCTGAACTCATGATACTTTTAAAGTGTAGACAGACGGAAGCATTCACCAATCCCTGTTCGGAAAGGATTCCTCGCATTCCGACCTTCCATATATGTGGCGACTGTGTACACGACTTGGTCTTCACAGTGAATAGTTTCCACTAGATGTATAATAAAAACTGGTCATCCTGCCCTACGTAAGGCTCTCGTACCATTTGATTGCCCTCGGCCGAAGGGAAGGGCAGTTAGGCTAGCCAGTGTAGGGTTCGATATGGGACTAGAGTCCCATTTGTGTACGCGCTAAGCGGCGCTACTAGACCCTGCACCATTCCGGACTACTCCATTACTATCGCCGATTGTTCGCAGAGCCTTTCTTGGTACTTACGTTTCTTATTTTGGAAACGTTACGGGTCAGGCATGAAATGATGGGTGGTGGATTGTTCTCAATGTGGGAATGATCCTTTCATTTACTCTCTGTCAACGTGCTATTCTCTCGTAGAATGAGTGGCGGGTGCTGTCAGTGTTTATCGTGATATCACTTGATAGTGTCGCTTTTTGTGACGGAAATCGCCACCCGCTGCGCTGAGCGTGTTGCAAGAAACGGACGTCGCCGTCACCGCCGCGCTTGCGCTGCGGGGATGATCCCGCTCGTATATGTCTGTGCTTATGATTACGGAACGGGTTCCCCCGTGCACGCACATGATGATAAGGAGCAATTCCTAGAACGATCTCGAGTCTATGTGGGTGCGTAAAAACCCGTATGAATGCGTATACTGATATTTGCATTGATGAGCGCTATCGTGATTGTGGGCTAGATATCGGTCATAGACCACAGGACTAGCATCTAGGCTTCGGAAAGGTGATGGTTGTGGTTGCAATTCCAATGGGACCATCGAAGCTCCATTGGTTTTTTCTAGAACGTGGTCAACCCTTAAAAAAACCCTGGAGACACGAGTTGAAAAACCATTTTTTGAGGCACAACATTCGGATTTGTTAACATGGTTCAGTTTTAATTTGTATTTAAACAGGAGTAAACTAGAGAAATAGTTGTGAAACAACAGCGGACATAAAGATAACACCTTCTTCCGTTCCCACCCCCCCCTCCCACAAAACAATAGGGAATTCGTCGGGATGGATCGCACACGTACGATTCTGTGGAGCCAACATTCTCTAGGATATTTTCATGTTCGGTTGCTTTCAGTAATAGAGGCATCTTTTGAAATCTGAAAAATAATTATTTTGAAATTGGATGTGGCTCTCACAATTTGTGCTTACATTAGGTCTCTTCTGAAGGAGCCGTCTGAGCACGACTACCCTAACATCAGATTTTGACTTCCTTGAAAATGATCAAATTGAAAACAAGTTGCTCCTTGTGGACCACACCGCTCACGCGAAAAAAGAGCCGCTTCGTTGAGAATTACTTAGCATATTTTCTAGCACTTAACCTTGTCGCACTATATGCTGTGAAATTCATACATTCAGCTAACAGTGACGGAAATATCACCAGGGATAGTAACTGAGCGCGGGGGGGGAAATTAAACATGGCATCGAGTCCCAGCCAAAGAGACGGCGTAAAACGCTTAAAGAATGTACAACTGAGTTTGTTCGAATTCTCACTTAGAGAACCATAGCGAGCAGATACGGTCAGTACACGTTCTTGAGGATTTATTTCAAATCCGACTTTACTATTGCAACCCTTTATGTTCAAACCGGCGTCGATGTTCCGATACATGTAAGCTCACAAAAGCGATGAAAATCAAAATTGCTAAGTTTTTTTTGACCGTGCAACTAGTGTTATCATTTAACAAGTTTCTATGCTGGTTTCGAGGCTCTCTGTGCAGAATTTCAGACACGTTCACGTAATTACGCACTACCAAATCTTATACGAGATAGATAAGATAAGATATAGAACAACAAGTGTATAAGATAGGATAGATAGATATATAAAATAGACTAAATTTTTGCAGAAAAGGACGGACAAACACGTGCGGTTTTCGTTACTGAAATATTTCTCGGATTTCCACTTTTTTCTTAGGAACATTCCTCTCCTGCAAGCATTTCTCGCCCTTTAACTTCATCGTGTAGACAGCAGTAGTGAGCTCTAACACAGAGCGCTCTTATGTACATATTGAGTCCTCTCATCTGTAAAATTTTGTTACACACCCGTTGTGGTTTAATCAATAGGTCAGAAGAAGCTCTTGAAAAAGGCGAAGAAGAGTGTGACCATTTGCAAGCCGTATTCTCACTATAGACCTGCCCTCAAGCGTGTCCCTCAGCTTCCACGCATTTGTTTTTTCTTTGAATAAATGAAGAATGAAAAATGCCCCCATTTGCTTGGAAGTGAATGTGAAAGCGAAAAAACTTGAGGTGGCGTAGAGAAGCCTTAAGACCATTCACAAAGCTTGAAAAACACGACTTGCTTTCAGATGTCGGAACAATAGACGGAGTTCGGCGAGAGATCTACAACGAGGTTGAGGGAGAGGGTAATAATGCACGTGAGTTCATTACTTGAAATTCTTCAAAGCTAATCTTAAAAAAAGACTTGTTTTCATTTTTCGATAATCCGATTAGGTCTAGTGCCTGCCTACCTGCAGGCCGTCCGTCATGAAGAAAGCCTAATCAAACAAAATCAAAATCACGAGAAGGAGGGGTAGGGGACATATGGCTTCACCAGAGACTTTTTGCTATGTACTTGTTCTACGTGGGTAATTCACAAGGTGGCTGAAACTAGCTATACAGCCGACTGAATAGGTGGATGCGCAATTGTAAGTATGAGAATCACTCGAAATCAAAATTAAAAAAGATCAGAATCAAAAATTGCTGCGCATGTTCCATTTATCGAAGGAATTTCAGCAGACAATATACCAAATCCATCGGACCCATGGAGCGCCTATGATGACAACACGATCATTGACACCGAAGATGGTTCGTTTCCTATCAATATTTCACATTGATTTTCAAGTATGCAATATAAATAATAATGTAGTCCTAAAGGCCAGTACAAGGCATCATATTAAAAAGATCGCATATATTGCTATGCGAGTATTGTTCGACGAACTAGGTGCTTGTAAGCTCATAGTTTGAACCGATGAAGAAATGGAGGATGAGCGCTTCCACGGTGACCTCCGTGCTAAGTATGTCAGTCAGAGTTAGGAAGGGTGGGAGATTCTGATAGTGCGACTGTAGAACCTGTACATATGGAATTGAGCGGCTTCCGATTAACGTCACCTCAAAAAAAGTCCACCTTTGAGAAATTTTCCAAGCGCCAAGCACTGGCTAGCTAAGCTCTTACTACCAGAGAACTAACCACATAAACTGAAGTCCCTTTTTAGTTGAACCAGCAGGTTGTTGCGTTGAATTGCATTGCTTGCTGGGTTTCTCGGCTCTCAAGTAGTAGGAGGGAGTAGGATTTTGGCACAGGGTGAATAACGGTCGAGGAATTCCTCGACCATGGCTCTGTACTGTGCGAGAGTAGTGCCGAGAGTGAACGTCGCGCGGAGAGCACAGACGGCTCGCGCATGGCGAGTGTGAATGTCCGCGCGGAGAACGTAACTGATCAGGCGAAAATCCTCGACGTGCCGTTGAGGAATCCTCTACCGATATTCAAACAGCCCAAAATAAGCCGAAAGAGCCCTCAGTGTGTAAAATAATAAGAAGCAAATCCTTCACAACCAACTTCCGGAAGACGTAATGCTAACCTAGTTCTTTTTAACCGCGTGGTTCATCCACCACAGAACTTCGCCCCTTTCTAAAAATTGAACTCAGAATGCACCGCTGACCAAAATGAACACCCTTTACTACAGGGGCGCCGAATTTTCTTCTAATCCAATGTCAATTTTTCAGAGAAAAATCTTTTCGTGCCGAAACCATACAGACCAGGCAGCAAAGAAAAGTCAACTACAACCACAAGGTGAGTCAATCTGTTACAAGGAGAGACTTCAGATTGCAAGAAATTTGGATTTAGAGTTGAACAGTTCTGTTCCGACATTGAACTTAAAATAAATTGAACTAAAAAGAACTCAAATGATCCAATTTCGAGGTTTTCTACGGGACAATAACCCGAATTTCCCGAAGATATTAATCGTGAGGTGTAAGGAGGTTCATGAGATTGAAAAATTCATAACCCTTTGAACTTTTTTTCAGCACAGCGCTTTTCGCCACGAGAGCGAGTATTCTCAATAGTCCAAAAAACGAATAGCTGCGTTCAGCTCTGAACGCAGGAAAAATCTCTAGAATCATTCGAAAAGATAAGGAATCAGCTCACGCTTTCACTGCTACGTGTCCTAGACTACTTGGTCTATTTGATTGGTAGCCCGACTTAGTGGTTTACATGACTTTTTATGGGTATATCAAGTCTAGCGCAGCCCCAATTTTCATCTAGGAACCGAAGTGTATGTACTTCAAATAATGACCACGAATGCATGCACTAGTCATTGGCTACCCTTTCAGGCCTCATATCACCGCTCCTCCAACGACAATCCGAACAATTCCTTTCGTCCAAACGACGCCAGCTCCTCGACAACCTATCCAGTGAGTTTTTTGACATCCTTGATTGAGGTACTGCCACATTTGTTGGTAGGTTGTGAGAATAAAAGAGCACCTCCGTAATACCTGAGAGAGATAAAACAGCACTAGATAAATCGAGATAAAGTGCACCACATACTTCCGCCCACTCGTCCAATATCCTCAGTCTCATTTCAGCGACTAGTGATTGTTCTGGTCGTTGAAATATGAAAAATTCGTCGCTGTGAAACTAATGCAATTGAATTCATCTGCTTAGATCGGTACAACAAAATCAATTTGGACGTCAGCCGACTCCGGCTGCTCCACCACGTTTCGTTGCTACGGCACCTCCAAGGTTTGTGATATGATGGCGCAAACCGTCTCCGAAATTCGAAATGTCTTCTGTTCATCGTGATTGGAAGTGGGCGAGGGTGGTGGGGCGGGGAAGGGGAGGGGGAACGTAAATATAAATAAAAAACGGCAAATACTCTGATTTCGCCCACTTCATGTCTTTCCTGTCTTGTTCGTGAAATTAGTAAAAATTCCACTCAAAACTGTCAAAGATCCGTCCAAAAGGGATCCTTCTACTATATCTTCCGTTGTGCGATCTTGCATATGTAGAGTTATTGGTGGTCGTAACTGTAAAGTAGAGTTAGTTTATTTTTGCAAAATCGACGCTGTTTCCATGTCAGATTAGCATTTCTAGAACTTACATATAAGGAGAAAAAAATTATGCTGCCAAGCTAATTTTGAGCTATTATATTAATCCAAGTACAATCCTTGCTGGCCAGCTCATTGCGGCACGGGCCCGAGTACTGAGACTTACTTTTAATTCTCCTCTAACTGTCGTAGTGTGCTCATCAAAGGTCTCGCTTTGGAGAACGTTTCATAGACGGTTCAGATTTGGGACATGCTTAGGGTGGGTGGAATGCAATTCGCCAGGGTGATGAAAAATTATAATTCGTTCGTAATGAAAGCTAAAATTAATCATAAAATGGGAGAGTTACTTTGGGTGTTGAGAGGGGTGGAGTACGCGTTGGGATCCATCAGAGGGAGGACCTGGGGTTGTGTCAGTGAAAAATTCGAAATCGGCACGCAAGGTGTTGACCCTGACTCTGCACAGGATTTTAAGTCAACTAGCAGCTTAGATGTACTATCATCGCAAAAAGCAAGTGCAAGTAAAACGCAGTTCATTCCATTCAGAAGCGCGTAAAAACACCAATTATAAAACACTTCCTTGAAGTCCATTGGAAGAAGTTTTTTCTACTGAGAATCACGTCATCCACTTCAGATCGGTGCAACAGAATCAATTCGGACGTCAACCTACCCCTGCTGCGCCACCACGTGTCGTTCCTACGCCACCACCAAGGTTCAGTAACTCTTGATAATTTCCCACTTAAAATTTTTTCAGAAATAAAATGATTGTCAAGAATACCATGAAAGTCCGATTTCAACGCCATCACTATGAGTTCAAAGATCATAGTTATTGTTTCCAATAATGTCTTGCTTGTAAAATCCATAGTCTTTAGCAGAATTATATCTCAGACATGCGAAGACACAACAGAATAAGCTGGTTTTTCCTGAGCAGCCATCATTGTAGCACCAGAAGAAAGGGAAAAAGAAAATAAGGAATAAAAATTCAAAATGTCGGAGCAGTATTCTTGAACAATGCCTCGGTATACAAGTATACTTAAGTGCTACAGATCCCAGATGCGTTACAGTACCCCAAGTGTGTAGAAACGAGAACTTCTCCATCTTTCCCTTCGCCCGCCCCCACTCCATTTCGACTCTTCTGCCTTCAAAAATCACATTGACTACAATTTTGGAATTCAAGCGCTTATAACGGATCTCACCGAACATTTTGTTCAACGATTTATTAAGAAGACTGTTTTGAAAAGCGCTAGACGTCTTCATTGGTCTCTCGGGGCTCTGAGAGTTGCAGCCAGCTCTCCTCGCAAGGTTGACCAGAGGAGCGTGCGAAACAATAAAGAACTCGACCATCTCATAAAATTAATTTGGTATATGCCGTACAAACAACAGCTCCCTCTTATGGGTTCTGAGGATCTTTGAAGCACTATACGCAAGACTTTGATTTTATTGTGTATTAATTTCAGGCAACCCCTGCCTGTTCAACCTCAAGTTGCACCTCAACCTCAACCGCATCTGCCTCAACAACCTCAACCACTTCGGCCGAGAACCAGGTACAGCAAGCTTTGGACAGAAACAAATCTGCCTCGCTTTTTATCGACATCATCTCATGTCTGCTTATTCCATTCAGGCGCCCACCTATTCGACCTCCTACACCTGCACCATTCCAACCTCAACAGCAGAACTTCAACGTCCAACAGTCGCTTCAAACACCGCCACCACAGTTTCAGCACCTTTCCAAAATCGACAGCCCCCATTCGTCCCACAACAACCTCAATTCCAAACTCAACGACCACAGCAGTTCCCACAACAGTTCCAAACACCTCCACCGACTACACCTGCACCCCAATTGCCGTTTGCATACCATAAAATTCTGCTCGAACTGCGACGGTACGTCACGTGCGCACAGCGCATCGAGTTTTCTACGAAGAGCTCAAGAAGCGAGTACAGTAAGCTCACACCAACCCGCTAGGAAAGATTCATGTTAGAAACTTCTAATTCTAGGGTGATTTGCCTAAGTCTTCAGATATTTGAAACAAGTAATGGATAAAACGTGGGACGGGCCGTGTTGCTGATTGCATCATCTGTCTTCGATGGAAGTCTCGGCATACCTGGACGGATTTCTCCATAAAGTCAATATCAGGGGTGAGTGAGAGAGAGGCCACCCCTGTATAGCACCTTCCGCTTCAGATGCGGTTTCTGTGGTCTAGCTGTCCCAAAATTCTGAGATCTTTTGTCGATGAGATCTCACGGGCCTTTCGGAGTGTTCAACTCATAGATAAAATCATTATTTCGATATGAAAATATTACATTCAAACTTTGTATTATATAGCTACTTAAGTTACTAATGATTCGTTTTACTGATAAACTGATCTGGAATAAAAGAGTTTCATAATCGTAAGAAACTGAATTTAGTGCTGCCCCATGTCGATCTTTTACGATCTCCAACACATCATGGACCAAACACGGCTTCTTTCACTCACTTCGCAATCGCTGTCCTGTTCGAGCTAGGCGCGATATGACGGAACATGCCACGAAGTCAATTGTCGCGGTTAATTTGGACCTTTTAGCCAATCTGTACTTTCTGATCGCCTAAAAAAGCGACATTTAGAGGCAGAGTCAGTAGAATCAAGCCAGAGGTGGTGGCGAGTGGTCTTTAGGAAGTTATAGGAAAAACCTATGAAAAGGCAGAGCATGAGAAATTACGACACCTTCCTAGCTCATTTCCACGCACTCTATATTCATACAAGTTCTCATATTGGTGTTGCTTTCTATCAAGGTAACGTCTATTCGCTAATCGGCTAATAGACCTGCGGGCGGATGTCGTTAGCCAGTCGAGTATGGCGCTATCGCCCGATAGTGCCGTTCTGGACCGGGGCTATGTGCATAATCTGTCGACATGAGACTCTTCGCCTGCAAAATGGCAGTGCCGTTATCGACCATTACTGTCCGCCTGCTGTCGCTGCGTAGGTCTCCCTTCTGCTTCGATCTCGACTCTTTTTCTTGAATCCTCCATCCGAAGCCGTATTCTTGGGCCTACCTACCTCCAATTAGTCAGTTCTGTCTTTAGTGGTACGGATAGCAGACCTTTAGTCCTTATGATATGCGTGGGCTCCATAGTGAAGAGTTGCAATACACGCCGAAGAGATATCTTCTGTAATAAATCTTGGGAACCACCCCTGCCAAGATCGTTTACAGCCTGTATAGCCATTATTAGGCATCGTGGGAGAGCTGGCTGGGATGGGTAGCGAGAGTTCTGCACAGGTTTCTAAGCCTATTTTCGCCATCCACTGAAATGGGACGGCATTCCAATGATTGACGAAAAGGCAATGTCAATGTCGCTTGCAAAGCTGCACACTTGACCCTCAGGCTCTTTGACTCGGTTTCAAAACACATCATAAACATGCTGAACCCTTTGCCAATAACTATGTATTAGCATGATTTAGATTGCTCACTACAATCCTACCAATGGACACTGTGCTAGAATTCAATCAATCAACAGCATTCGCCATCCGGAACGGACAGTGCCCCGCTTGGCCAAGCTTGCATTACAGGTGAATAGTTGGATTAGATCATAGTGTGTCTTCTCAACATCGGCTCTGTAAGCCATTTTGGGGGATACTATGCCTATACATAGTTTATCGAGGATTCATGTGTACCAGGCGGCGATTATGAGGAAGATAAGAACCCCAAAGTACAAGTGACGCAGTTAGGGCTTGTGCACTAGTCGATTTATTTTATCCATATTAGGAGGATTATGCATGACTGAATTCAGTCCTTTGTGAATTTTCCACGTATCGATTATCAAAGAGTAGTTTGATTTTCGGAGTATGGCTGAAGCAAGCAGTGGGAGTGAGGTCGGTAACCATGGGAGTTATGTATTACAACCAACCCGGCTAAGGAAAGATTTAAAACTCGCTTAGCCTAGCGAGATTTGAGCCGCTATTCAATCCAGATCAAACGTGCGATAACGCCGATGAAGCTGCCCCTCATTAACTTCCCATTCACGCCATACCCACTGTAAGGCAGGAGACTCGTAATAATGACGCAGTTCATAATAATAATGTCCCACTTCACTTCGTTCGATCTGCGGGTGCCACTTGTGGTGCAAGTTCATTCGGCGATGGCGATGTAGACTGCAGAATCTTTGAAATGTCAGCTTCTTCTGGCATTTTGGTAACTCCTCACGGCTCCGAGAAGTTTATGCAACCAGGGTTCCGGGGGTCGGTCCTATCGTTGCTACTTTTCAAAAAGTTTTTACGACCCCCCTCCCTCATGAAATGTTTCATACGACCCCCTCTTTCAAAACAATTTTTACCCCAAAAAATTACGTCGAGGGGGGGGGGGTATATACTTACCGTAAAACCGCAAAAATTCCCTACATTTCCCTACAATTTCCATGTATTTTACCCATATTTCAACTGCTCCATTTTCTAGGGGGTATATACGCGCGCTGAAACGGCAAATTTTCTCCCGCGCCGCTCCCCACTCATCACATGCAACTTCTTACAACCGAAGCAAGTACGACCCCCCTCTACAAACTCATCAAAATACGACCCCCCCCCGTTGCTACTTGTAGCAACATAGGGTTGACCCTGCTTGCAAGGCTTGTTGAGACACTATTTTTCAGTTGTGCGCTGAAAAACTCATAAAAATTGCGAAATACAGGAACGCCAACTGCGATGCACGCCGCAAAAATAAGCACACTCAGATTCTTTCTTGATCTGTAAGCCAAAAATTATAGAAACAACGTCGTTGCGAGTGAACCAGTGCGAATCTTCTGCGTGTGACATGTCAGCGACCACGTCGACGACAAAACCGGCAGCGAAACCTCGGACTCAGGTAAGACTCATTCCATGAATATTAACGAATAAGAACCGATGAGTTGCATTTCTGAAGTGAAGATTAATAAATCGCTCTAGGCAACGAGCAAAAGATCCTCGCCAAGTGCCCAACTCCCGACGAGGGGCTATTCGATCACACAGAAACACGAGAATTACTCCCAACAGGTGATTACATTTTCTGGCCAAAAATTCCACTTTTCTCCGGGATTCCTGCTCAGTTGTTCCGACGGTCATGGAATAGCTCTACAAATATAGACAATAAAGGAATATATGACATGAATGAATGAGGCATGACCTATGTACAAAAGCAAAAACTCACCTGTGGTTTTGCTCTTTTCCCTTTTATCGTGGAGCAACATCATTAGGCCTGAAACTGATGAGCGCAGTGAACAGACAGCGACAGATGATTGGTAATTCCCAATTCTAAACGCCATAACCCACGTGTAAGGCAGGAGACTCGTAATAATGACGCAGTTCATAATAATAATGTCCCACTTCACTTCGTTCGATCTGCGGGTGCCACTTGTGGTGCAAGTTCATTCGGCGATGGCGATGTAGACTGCAGAATCTTTGAAATGTCAGCTTCTTCTGGCATTTTGGTAACTCCTCACGGCTCCGAGAAGTTTATGCAACCAGGGTTCCGGGGGTCGGTCCTATCGTTGCTACTTTTCAAAAAGTTTTTACGACCCCCCTCCCTCATGAAATGTTTCATACGACCCCCTCTTTCAAAACAATTTTTACCCCAAAAAATTACGTCGAGGGGGGGGGGGTATATACTTACCGTAAAACCGCAAAAATTCCCTACATTTCCCTACAATTTCCATGTATTTTACCCATATTTCAACTGCTCCATTTTCTAGGGGGTATATACGCGCGCTGAAACGGCAAATTTTCTCCCGCGCCGCTCCCCACTCATCACATGCAACTTCTTACAACCGAAGCAAGTACGACCCCCCTCTACAAACTCATCAAAATACGACCCCCCCCCGTTGCTACTTGTAGCAACATAGGGTTGACCCTGCTTCCAAGGCTTGTTGGAACACCGTTCCTTTTCAGTTGTGCGCTAAAAAACTCATAAAAATTGCGAAATACAGGAACGCCAACTGCGATGCACGCCGCAAAAATAAGCACACTCAGATTCTTTCTTGATCTGTAAGCCAAACAATTATAGAAACAACGTCGTTGCGAGTGAACCAGTGCGAATCTTCTGCGTGACATGTCAACGACCACGTCGACGACAAAACCGGCAGCGAAACCTCGGACTCAGGTAAGACTCATTCCATGAATATTAACGAATAAGAACCGATGAGTTGCATTTCTGAAGTGAAGATTAATAAATCGCTCTAGGCAACGAGCAAAAGATCCTCGCCAAGTGCCCAACTCCCGACGAGGGGCTATTCGATCACACAGAAACACGAGAATTACTCCCAACAGGTGATTACATTTTCTGGCCAAAAATTCCACTTTTCTCCGGGATTCCTGCTCAGTTGTTCCGACGGTCATGGAATAGCTCTACAAATAGACAATAAAAAGGAACATATGACATGAATGAATGAGGCATGACCTACGTACAAAAGCAGATCCCTCGCTGTAGTTTTGCTCTTTTCCCTTTTATCGTGGAGCAACATCATTAGGCCTGAAACTGATGAGCGCAGTGAACAGACAATAAGAAAAGTTTCGACTCCTGTTCCTGACAAACTCCTGTTCCTGACAGGGATGTCCTGAATGTGTCCTTCGAACCCTGGTTCTTCGATCCAACTCCTTCGTTCGCTGAGAGTGTGGGGGTCGGACGATTAGGCTCTCCTTATAGCCCGATTCTAGGTATTCCATTCCTTTGAAGGCAGAATTTACATAAAAAAGCAACCGTTCGCAATTAAGTTACGGAGGATGAGTGGTGCAGGAAAGAAGGAGAAAACGTGAGAACCGAGAAATGGAACCCCTTCCTTGCCCGTTGATTTGCGCATTGATGCGACTCTCATCGCTGTGCCCTCTTCAACACTACGCTCTCTCTCTGCTATCTAATCACTCGCCACGTATAGACCTGCGGCGAGTGATTAGATAGTCGGTGGGCGTACCCCGCCAACCGCGCCAAGAGTGAGCCATGCTAGATCGCCGAGGTCAAATCTTTCGCTGCCAATTGCGCGTCAGTCGCACCCTCAGGAGGTCCGCCTGTCTCCCCACTAGGCAATTTCCCTTCTTCGACCTTCGTTCTTATCGCGAAAGCTTGTACGTCAGTCCCTTCCAAAGGATATTATGCATGAAGGAACGAGATTTCCGTATGTGTACTTCAAAACTGTTCAATCTCTCACTGAACACGCTTAAATGCTCATTCCACGAATGAACAGTTGTATATTATTCCGTCCAGAATGGAAGAAGTTAAGGGTATTGGTCTCACAGCACTGAAAACAATAACGCAGAGAACTTTCAAAATAACAGAGGATTCGACAGACTGAGGTTTTCTCACATCGCAACTACGGAAGTTTCATAGCTCGGTTCCTTCTTTTTACCGTATTCTGCCGAATCCAAAAATAGCCAATGAAAATCACGTACGTGCGGAGCGCATGACCCCGTAGGACCGGAGCACAACGTAATTTTCAGGGTTCTTAGAAGTTTTTTTTGCTTTCGTCGATTACTGACTGGCTAGTTACCACAGCTTGTTCTTTTTGAGCGCAATCACTTATGGTTAGACTTATAAAACCGCGGAATGTGCTTTTAGAACTGTTGAGAGCCGTCTGTATGAAAACATTATGGATCAATTAGTTAACCATCCACAAATTGCTTGATAAGTTGAGCTCAGGACTTGACAGTACTTCCTGGAAGCCGTGCCCTACCCTACGGACTACGCTTTAACCTGAGCCGAGGACTTGGAATACATCCGGTCCAATAGTATTCCCTCGAAAAATTCCGATCATAAGCCGAAAAGAATCAAACAAATCTTTATTGATATTCAAAGTCTTTGGTAGCTCTAAATGTCCAAACCTTCAAATATTACCTACCACTAACATAATCATAATAATTGAGCTTCTCAGAAGCTCTAAAGGAGAAATTCAAGTGAATTTCATTTCAGTCATGATATTGCTCTCAATGATTCACTTCCAGAATATCAAGTCACCCAGTCATCCACGGTGTTCTTGTAAGGCAACCAAAAGCCATTGCACTCGGTGTTTCTCAAATGTCATTCAATAGTCCTATTGAATCAAAGGTGAGTTCTCTTCATACTAAAATATTTTTCATATTTAATATCAATATCTTTATAACATTTCTTTATTATAACTTTTATACCAAGATTCTACCTTTCGTTTTATGCGGTCGATGATGTCGTAGTTGCAGACTCAGTAGAATGGCTTGGAAGAATTCGGTACCACGGTTTCTGAAACGATGCTATGAAAGATCAAAGCAACACAAGTAGCATCAGACAGCATTGAAAGCATCCGTGTTATCGAATTTTTTGGTCGTCGTCTGGTGCTGAGTCTGCATTCACGACGTGCCCAGCCGCGAGAAATGAAGCACAGCTAACACATAGGCTGAGCAACTACTCTTTCAGACGCACGAAATAGCCGTTGGAGTCTCACCAACCCTATACGAAGATGGAGGCGATTCGTCCACGTACCAAGAAACAAGGAGGTCAAGTGGCCCAAGCAGCAAAGTGGGTTAATCGCTTAAAACCGACTAGAAATAAACAGCTGTCGTTGTGATATAAACCACAAAGGGTTAGCAGAGTTGACCCTGAAATTACTTTGGCGACAGGATGTAGGGTGTAAAAATCACAGGTTAACCATTGGGGAGCCACT